AAATAAAAAATATATATTTAAGAAAAAGAGAAGCACAGACAATACTCCTTTTATTGGTTGATTCTAACATCTCAATTATAATAAAAACGAGGGGCTCAGTGCACGAATTTGTGCACCTTGAAAGGAACTGTGGGCCACAAGGCTGTGGTGAGCACATTGGCAGGTCGTGGCCCATCCTTTATGCTGCCACCCAGCCCCTCCTGCTGTGGCCCCCAGTTCCTTGTTTACCACCAGCCCAGCTCCCACTGCCACCGCTCCCACACACTGAAGGTGTAAGCCCTGCTCAGACCCACTGAGGATGTAGAGTGATTGGGGCTGGCATCAGCAGCAGCAGGTGTGAGCACTGGGCGAAACAGCAGCACACTGGAGCAAAGAATTTTCAGTGACTGCCAAAGGCTTGCCCGATGACAGCAACTGATGTCCCACCTTGATCTGGTGCCCTCACTCACCTGTTTCTCCATCCCATCATGGTCAACCTCCAGTATTGTCTGTGCACACCCTTGGTGGTCAGCACATGTCATAGCCACCAGTTGTTCAGTTATTCTGCCATTTGGTCTATTTGCATTTTAGGGTTTTATATATATAGATTATACTAAATTAGAGCTGCTACAAAAAGGAAGATTCTGATAACATCAGAGTGAATTTTATGCTAAATGACATATAACCTTCTCATATATGTGTACAGATATGTGTACAGGTATGAGGAGAGTATTATAAGAGAATTGTAATATTAATGTGAATTATCCAAAGAATTGCTTTAATTTTCTTACATGCCAAGCATTCTATTAAGCATACCACATGCCTCAATATTAATTGCAACATTTATTTCTCTTTGAAACCTCTCAATCATGGCTTGCTTATAGATAGTCTGTATTGCTCATGATTCAGTTTTCCTAAAATAAAAATTCTGTGATACTTTGTAATAAAACTATGTGGTAAGTTCACATATATTTGCTTCATCAAGGAATATATGTGAATCTCCTACAAATTTCTTTCATATCTGCCTCCATCACCCTTTCCCAGGAAGCCTAGAAATATCCACTTACCTATTTTGTCCTAAATTCTGAAGCTCTATTTCTAATTTGGTATATATTCAGATTGGGGAAAAAAATTGTCCTAGGAGTATTCATGTGCCCCAAACACACACACACACACACACACACACACACACACACACACACACACGTTCACCCATGTATTTAACCCATGTATAACCTAGTCTGTTCTCTAGCCACTCATGTGCAATTTGGTTGATTTTGCTGCACTTAGGAAAAACAGATGTGTTTCCTCAGGCAACTTTTCTCCTGAAAGAGTCCTGCATGGGAAACAGTTCTGACATGTCATGCTAGGGTATACACTCCAAGAGGTTAATGTCAGTAGCTAATAGTTTAGTGTAGTTTGCATATACCTAGATAAGTATTTCAGGGCAATGACTTATTTTATACTTATAATAATGCAGTTATTTGGAAATATTTTGTTTCTTTTCCTGTTTAGCAATAGAAACAAAAACAACGAAGAATACTATATGAAATATATATTTTATTTTAAAAGTCACAAATTATATCATTCTAAATGTTTTCAAATATATTAATTTTACTTTGTAGGCACAGAGGAAGGAAGAAGCAAGGACGAAATATGCTTTCCAAGACATAGGTTCACAATTTCTCAATAGAAGCTAGAATACAGTTATCTTTTAAAGGCTTTGAAATATCTCTAAGATGAAGAAAAGCAATATAACTTTTGAGCAGACTTTAAAGACAAAACTTTAAACACCCATTGTGCTCCATTTAAAATCATTCTCACATTCTCACTTAAGTCTTGAGTAATAAAAAATTGGTCATTAAAAAATTGGCCTTTATCCCAAGTAAAAATTAGAAAGCTGAAAAAGTATAAACAATTTTAGGAATTTTAAAAAGAGAATGAATATTAATCAGAATCAACAACTCAAAATTCTAAAACATTTGTCAAAAATTCAAGGGGCAAAATAATTCTGAAAAGAAAAGGCAATATTCTATATTTTTCGAAACAAGACTTATTAGTACAGATTAACTTGAGGCTGATGTGTGATAATTTCAGTAAAGTAAATGAAGTGGACCCCCAAGATTATCATACATGTTCATAATGAAAGAGAAAGAGAAATAATCCTAGTAGCTGAATTTGGAGGAAACAAAGTACTCCTTAAAAAGCTCTAAGTAATATACTCAGAGAAATTGAAGGTAACATTACTCATATAAAACGTAAGAAGCAGGTTGTAAATAAGAAATAGTAAGAGAGAGAAAAGAACCATTGAAAATAAAGCTGTTGATAATTCCTTTATGCATGAAATGTAAAAAGTAAGCCAATAAATATATAGAAAGATATGTAGATAATTGATTGACATGTAACCCAGAGAAATGTCCTTAATTCTTTTCAAATTGCTAAATGTAGACCAAAATCTCTAAGAGTATATTGACAAAAACAAAACAAACAAACAAACAAAAATTAGCCATTGTAGACACTAGAAGAGTGTTTCTTTAAGTATGATATGTGGGCTACTTGTAGCAGAAGCTATGGGGTATTTTAAAAAATAAACACAAATTTCCATTCCCAGAAAACACTGCCTATATCAGAATTTTTATAAGTGTATTAGTTAAGACAAATGCAATCTAAAGATAAAGGGTTCATAGGAGATCTTAAGGTTAATACAGTTACTACTATATTAAAGTCATTTAAAATATTCAAAATTTAAATAACTTTCAGACATTTTAATACTTTTCTGAAATTTATAAACACTTTAAAAAACTATATGCAAAACTAAATACATAACAATAGTTACATATCTATCATCTATCTACCTATCATCTATATCTTGCCACTGTAAAGAAAAGCTTCTTTATCTCCTTATTACACTCACTTTCCAAGAAAATATTTGTCTTATTTGAATTATTTGCTAACCTTATTTCATTACACCAAATTTTAAAATTCAGGAAGCTTATTTAATTAGGAGCTATTTTAGTGTTGGCTCATGGTGTACTCATTAAGTGTTGCTGTTTTTTAATTAAGAATCTAGTTGTTTATTGTCCAACATAGCATTCTCTAGCAACATGTGTTTATTGAACATTTGAAATGTTGCTAATATGAATTTCTAAGAATTATAAAAAAGGTGAAATATCTCAATAATTACATACTTAAATGAGTTGTTTAAGGCATACCAAAAAAATAATAAAACACCAAAAAAACAAAAAAAAAAACACATTTTTTTAGTGCAAGTTCTTCCAAGTATCATTAATTATTTTTTCATATTTTCTCTAAATTGCCTTTTAATGTCATATTAGAGTCTGCTCTAAAGTTGTAGATTTTATGCTTTTGTTTTCTAATCAGAAAAAGCTTCTCATTAAGAATTAAGTCCCTAGAGTTTGAAGAAACAGATTTCCAAGAGACACATGTGAGATGATTAGGGAATGAGGAGCATCTAAAAGTTTACCTTTGTATTCACCTTTTCTTGTTTCAAAAGTACAAACAACAATTGGGAATTCTATTAGGGTTTTAATTAATTTCTATTTCCAACTAAGGAAACTGTGAAAAGTCTCCCTGCCTAATAGTTGCTTTTTTGTTTTTTTGTTTTTTGTATTTGTTTTCAAAATTAGATAAAATGAGAAAGTATTGGGCCAGTATTCTCACAGGAAAGCACCAGTATTTTAAAATTATTTCAAGTATAAAGAGAGAAACATGATCTCCCTTGGGAAAAAAAAAAGATACTAGGAAAAATATGTATGATATTGATTTATTTTATCACATATATTTATTTGTACTTTTAATACAAACATAGATATTTCTTTTATTTTTCAATGAAATATCAAATTTCATAAATTGTAGGTGAAAAACAGATATATCTTTAATTTTAATGTAATAATATTTATTGATCACTCTTTTTCCTCCCATTAAGTTTCCCAATTCCATTCAATTCATTTTACTTTTACATAATATTTATCACAATTTATAATCATGTATGCATGAACACACATGATTTCTAAATATTCAAATTCAGATCGGTATTAATAGATTTTCATAATGACATTAATTTTCACTATATATCAGAACTGGAAAAGTGGGTCTACAGGCTGTTCTCATCAACTAACATTATACACCAATATTGAATTTCATTTATAATTATATCCTTAATAGACAAGAATATATAATTATGAAACTAAATAAAATTTATTTTCTTGTGTAGTCATTTATCATTTTTTCAACTTAATACGAAAATAATTTTAATTTAATTTATTCTCTCTGTTTCATTTATTTCTAATCAATAAGTGTGATGGACAACTACTTGTTATTTGAACAGTCTTTCACCACTGCCCTTTTAACTGCTTTAGTATTTTTTTGAAGAATACTGACACTAATACCATTTGGAAGAAATGTTATTTTAATTATAAACAAAAGACAATGCAAAAATATCCAATTGTTACTAGAATAACTAGAATCGAATTTAAAGAAAATATTGTTGAAGAAACAAAGATAATATGTGTGGTCCATCTATAACCAAAGTAGTTTTGAAAATATGCGTATACAGCAGAAATATGTATCCAAGTGTAATAATGCCACAGTATTGTTTTTGAAAAGTTTCTTTAAAAAATAATTGCAGCATTATCATTGTACATTTCCAAGAGTACAACGGGGCCTTATTTCGATGGGAAATGTCTTGCATGATTTGCAATTTTTCTTTTGTTTTGTTGTAATGGTTAAGCGAACTCTCTCAATTCTTAACAACTTTCCAGTTTTCATCTTTACAACTTATTCATGGTGCTCTATGACTCACTTTATAGTAAATATTAACAATTGCTGCGCACGCATCCACGTGCACGCTCCCTTCTCCCCTTTCTCCTTCCCCCTCTCACCTGCCTGCTTTCTGATTGGCCGGCGCCTCTGGAACCAAACCAATGTGGAACTTGGCGGTTAAATCTCCGGTGGGACAGGGCAGGGGCAGACCAGAGAGGAGACATCGCTGAGGAAGAATCATGCAAGAACAGGTGAAGGGAATTCCCGTCAGAGTGGCCCTGCGATGTCGCCCTCTGGTCCCCAAAGAGATCAGTGAAGGCTGCCAGATGTGTCTTTCCTTCATACCCGGGGAACCGCAGGTGGTGGTCGGTACTGACAAAGCCTTCACCTATGATTTTGTGTTTGACCCCTCCACTGAGCAGGAAGAAGTCTTTAATACAGCGGTGGCGCCACTCATAAAAGGCCTATTGAAAGGATACAACGCAACTATCCTGGCCTATGGACAGACCGGCTCAGGGAAAACCTATTCCATGGGAGGTGCATACACTGCAGAGCAAGGGAATGAACCAACAGTGGGGGTCATTCCGAGGGTAATACAACTGCTCTTCAAAGAAGCTGATGAGAAGAGTGACTTCGAATTTACCCTGAAAGTCTCCTATTTGGAGATTTACAATGAAGAAATCGTGGATCTCCTATGCCCCTCTCGTGAGAAAGCCTCTCAAATAAATATACGAGAGGATCCTAAGGAAGGCATAAAGATCGTGGGACTCACTGAGAAGACTGTTTTTGTTGCCCCGGATATGATTTCCTACTTGGAGGAGGGCAACCACTGTAGGACGGTGGCCTCCACAGCCATGAACTCCCAGTCATCCCGGTCTCATGCCATCTTTACAATCTCCGTGGAGCAAAGAAAGAAGAGTGACAGAAACAGCAGCTTCCACTCCAAGCTGCACCTTGTGGATCTTGCTGGATCCGAAAGACAGAAAAAAACCAAGGCTGAAGGGGATAGGCTAAGAGAGGGTATTAACATTAACCGAGGCCTCCTATGCTTGGGAAATGTAATCAGTGCCCTCGGAGAGGACAAAAAGGGTGGCTTTGTGCCCTATAGAGATTCCAAGTTGACGCGGCTGCTTCAAGATTCCCTAGGGGGTAACAGCCACACTCTTATGTTGGCCTGTGTCAGTCCTGCAGACTCCAATCTAGAAGAAACGTTGAATACCCTTCGCTATGCTGACAGAGCCAGAAAAATAAAAAACAAACCTGTTGTTAATATTGACCCCCAGAGAGCTGAACTTAATCATCTAAAGCAACAGGTGCGACGGCTACAGGTCTTACTGCTACAAGCCCGTGGTGGTAACCTGCCTGGATCTATACATGTGGAGCCATCAGAGAATCTACAATCTCTGATGGAGAAGAATCACTCCCTGATAGAGAAGAATGAAAAGTTAAGTCATGGTCTGAGTGAGGCAGCTGGCCAGACGGCCCAGATGTTGGAGAGAATCATTTTGACAGAACAAGCAAACGAGAGAATGAATGCCAAGCTAGAAGAGCTCAGGCAGCATGCAGCTTGCAAAGTGGACCTTCAAAAGCTAGTGGGGACTTCCGAAAACCAAGAGTTAAGAGAAAACGTAGAGATGATTCGTAACCTGCAGCAACTGATTATCCAGATACCGGATGACACGGTTCCGTGCATGGCCGCAGCCATTGGTACTGCGGTGGAACCAGAAGCTCAGGTGGAAAGCAGTTCGCAGACCAGCAGGTCTTCTGATGGCTTCTCCACTCCACATGCTCTGCGTCAAGCTCAGATGTCTAAGGAGCTGGATGAGTTGAACAAAGCCCTTGCGCTGAAAGAGGCCCTGGCCAGGAAGATGGCTCAGGACAGCAGCCAACTTCAGCCCATCCAGTTGCAGTACCAGGAAAACATCAAAAATCTAGAGTTGGAAGCCATCAATCTGCAAAAGGAAAAGGAAGAATTGCAGCTTGAACTTCAGACAACCAAGAAGCATGCCAACCAAGCCAAGTTGGGTGAGTGCCGCCACAGACGTCTGCAGGAGCTGGAGTGTCAAATAGCTGATCTGAAGAAGAAACTGAGTGAACAGTCCAAACTCCTGAAGCTGAAAGAATCCACAGAGCACACCATCTCCAAGCTGAACCGGGACATACAGGCGATGAAAAACCAGCGGGTCCAGTTAATGCGTCGGATGAAAGAGGACGCTGAGAAGTTTAGACAGTGGAAGCAACAGAAAGACAAAGAAGTAATCCAATTAAAAGAACGAGACCGAAAGAGGCAATATGAGATGCTCAAACTGGAAAGAAACTTCCAGAGACAGTCTAATGTGCTTCGGCGTAAAACTGAGGAGGCAGCGGCTGCCAACAAGAGGCTCAAGGATGCTCTCCAAAAGCAACGGGAGATCTCAGACAGGAGGAAAGACACCAAGAGCCAAGGGGTGGAAGGCACTGCAGCCCGAGTGAAGTGTTGGCTTGGCAATGAAATCGAAGTTATGGTCAGTACCAAGGAAGCCAGATTCCACCTGAATGACCTTCTTGAAGACAGAAAAATCCTGGCTCAGGATCTGGCTCAACTCAAAGAACAGAGGGAAGCCGGGGAGAACCCACCTCCGAAACTCCAGAGGCACACGTTCTCACTTGCTGAACAGCTCGGCCATGCTTCTGAGCCAGAAGAGCCCACTGCTCAGCAGATTGAGAGCCTGGAGACTGAAATGGAGCTCAGGAGCGCTCAGATCGCAGACCTACAGCAGAAGCTGCTGGATGCAGAGAGCGAAAACCAGCCTAGGCACCGCTGGGAGAATATCGCCACCATTCTGGAAGCCAAGTGTGCCATGAGATTTTTAATTGGAGAGCTGGTCTCCTCCAAAATACAGGTCGGCAAGCTTGAAAGCATCCTCAAACAGAACCAGGCCAGCTGTGCTGACATGCAGAAGATGCTGCTGGAGGAACGACATCATTTTGCTGAAATAGAGGCAGACTTGCAGGCAGAGCTATTCAGAGCGGAGCAGCAGCATCAAGAGAAGGTGCTGTACCTGCTGGGCCAGCTGCAGCGAAGCCAAACGGCAGAGAAGCAGCTCGAGCTGTCAGACAGGGAACAGGAGCCACAGCCGTGGAGCTCAGGGCAGTGTCAGGAAGAACTGAGGGAGAAGCAGGAAGTGTGTGTGCACAGTCAGCAGCTTCTCCGAGAGAACGAAATCATGGAGCAAGCAGCCAGGAAACAGGAACCCCATCTTCTGGAGGATACCCTTCCATCCCCAGGCTCTCCTTTCGAATATATCCCACCTAAGCCAAGACCTTCCCGTTTTAGAGAAAAGTTCCTGGAGCAAAGCATGGATGTCGAGGATCTGAAATACTGCTCAGAGCATTCCGTGAGTGAGCCTGAGGATGGGGACATTGATGCCAGGGATGATGAGGAATGGAAACCAACAAAATTATTTAAGATGTCTAAGAGGACCACCCAAGGATGCTCCTGCAAGGGCTGGTGCGGGAACAAGCATTGTGGATGTAGGAGGCAGACATCCAACTGTGGGGTGGACTGTAGCTGTGACCCCTCAAAGTGTAGGAACCGTCAGCAAGGCAGAGATAGCTTGGACACCGTTGAGCGGACCCAGGATTCAGAAGGCTCCTTCACGCTGGAGGACCCCACCGAGGTGACCCCGGGACTGAGCTTCTTCAGCCCCGTCTGCGCCACTCCGAACAGCAGAATCCTGGAGGAGCTGAGCGAGGTGAAGCAGGTTCTGTGGAAGACCACTCTGGCCGACGCCTCCCTTGGCCTTCCTGAGCCGAAACGTGGAGCCGCAGATTCCCAAGGAAGCAAAGGTCCAGGGAGGAAAAGGAAACGAGCTCTGGCCAGCAATGCCAGCTTCTTCTCGGGCTGCTCCCCAATGGGAGAAGAGGCCCCCTGAGCTGGGCCCGTCACCCTCTGCCCCAGTCTGGCTGGGAAGATGCCAGAGGGGATTTCTAATGTCTCCTTTAGAATTAAGGTTTCTTGCTGTTGAAAAGGGGACAGGATGTTGCTGAAAGGTTAGGAACTTGAGTTGGATGTTGGCCCTCAGCCTCCAGGCCTCTAGTCCCAGACAGTGGTCCCCAGAAGGGTGCTCAGCCACCTGCTGGAGAACCAGCTGTCCTTCCTGTGGACTTCAGGAGCCAGTCCCCAGTCCCCAGTCCAGTGGAGCTCCATGTGACTTGCCAGCAGTCAAGGTTGTCTTCCAGGGGAAATGAGGCCATGGCTATCTTACCTCAGGGCTGTCTCAGTTTAATGCGGGACTCTGGCCTGGGGGGGAGGCCTGGCACCAGCCATTCACCCCTTCTCAGGAATGGTGTCTCTGTGGTGCTGAGGTAAATAAAATCTTTTAAAATGTTAATGTTTTAATTATATAAATAAACAAGTAACGCTGAAAAAATACTAACAATTTTATGAGACCAAACAGACACTGGATGTCCAATAGCTACTAGACTGAAGAAGTGTTGTTGAAAAGAAAAGGCATTGAAAGAACACCTTAACATCCCATTACTCAGGTGCAAGTGAAAATAAACTAATTTTTGTTTTAAAACTATGGTCTAACTTTTTATGATTTCAGTATAAACAGAAACAACAGCCTTGATTGTGCTTCTTAGTAGGATAGAGAAAGTCTATGACTTTTATTCCAAACCTCCACCACAAAACAAACCAGACTATAATATCATATTATTTTTTTATGAGAGAGCTAAAGATTTAATGAGCTTAAATTAATTAAAATATAGAGAAAGCCAAGAAATTTCTAGAAAAGGAGATAGTCAAACTGCTTTTGTCCCGATCAAAGAGGCATGAAGAGAAGGGATCTGCAATACATATTAGTAATAATAATAAATAAACAAACATTTAAAATAAATTGTAGCATCCCTATATAAACTGCTGTAACAGGTGAAATATATCAGGAGCTCCAGTCAGAGAGTTTGTACCCATCCTCTATTCTTTCCCTAAGAAACACTTGAGCAGATAATGACTGTGAATTTTATAAAACTGATAATAGATACTAACCCAAAGATATGGAAATATTAATGTGTTCAAACTTTATATGAAAAAAAGAAATGAAAAAAAAAATAGAAATACACTGAAGTACATCAGATGAAAATGAAAATTAAGTAGCTTAAAAACAGCCAGAGAATAAAAAACACATTGCATGCAGTGGGTAAAAGGATCTAAGTGACAGCTGTTTTCCCATCACAAACAAAGACAGGAGATAATAGGACACTATCTTAAAAGTGCTATAAGAATAAAACTGTGGTCTAAGATTTGAGTTTGAGAGCAAATATAGCTGTCAAAAATGAACCCTATTTAGAGAGAAATTTAGAGATTTAAATGTACCTATCATAAAAGAAAAGTATAAAATAAGTTATTTTAGCTTCTACCTTGAACACTAGATTACAAAAAACAAACCAATCCTAGTTAGGTAGAAAAAATTAGTGAATAAAAATAAGAGTGGCAGTTCCACATTTAATTTTTTTGGAGGAAACTCCATGCTGTTTTTCATAGTGGCTGAATTCCCACCAGCAGTGCACTAGGGTTCCCTTTACTCCACATCCTCACCAGCACTTGTTATTTGTTGATTTGTTGATGGTAGCCATTCTGGCAGGTGTGATACCTCACTGTCATTTTAATCAGCATCTCTCTGATGATTAGTGACTATGAGCATTTTTTTTCATATGTCTCTTGCCCATCTGTATATCCTCTTTGGAGAAGTATCTTAGGTCATTTGCCCATTTTATATTGGATTGTTTGTCTTCCTTTTGTTAATATGAGTTCTTCACATATTTTGGGAATTAACCCAGTAATCCGTCTCTAGGAATATATCCTAAGAATTCTGAAAGACCAATCAGAAAGAATATATGATCATAGCAGCACTATTTACAATAGCTAAGATCTGGAAATATCTGAAATGTCCATAGGTAAATAAGTGTGTGTGGGGGGGAACAAAACAAAACAAAACAAACAAACAAAACTGGCACATTTACACAATGGAATACTATGCAGCTATAAGAAAGAAGGATCTCTTACCCTTGAGATAGCATGGAAGGTCCTAGAGAGTGTGATGCTAAGCTATATAAGCCTATCAGAGAAAGACATCCCATGATATCACTCAAATGTAGAATTTAATGAACAAAACAAACTGATGAACAAAACAGATGCAAAGACATTGAATCATGGAGCAGATTGACGAATCTCAGAGAGAAGGGGAGGGGGCAGGAAGAGATTAACCGAAGAATTTATATGCATATATGCATAATCCATGGAATAGACAGTAGTGTGATGAAGGCCTGGGGTTTGGGGTGAAGGTTGGAGAGGCTCAATGAGGAAAAAAAGGGGACATCTGTAATACTTTCAATAATAAGATAAATTTAAAAAATAACAGTGGATATCAATGAAATGTACAAATAATAAGGAAGAACATATAGAAATAAATAGGCCCCTCAAATATTTAATAAGATTGATTATCTCCTAACAGAAGTAGTCAAGAATAAAATTTACAGAATAGAAAATGACAGATATAAAAAGAAGGAAAGAGAAGAAATCACTACCAATGATATACACATTAAAAAAGCAAATAGTTTAAAAACTTTATGGCAATAAGTTTGTTGATTTAGATGAAATTCACAGATATCTGGATAACCACACTCATCAAAACTGATACAAAAAGAAATCATTTAAATAGCTGATTAGGTCATCCAGATATTATTGTTAGGTAATTATTATTAGTAGAAAATTATTACTCAGAAACCACTACTATTTGTCTTTTGTCCACATCATTTCCAAGTGGCATATATCTCCTAGTTATAAGGGATTTTAATGATACCTTAGTTTTAGTGTCTTTATATTATGACTATTTATTTTTTCAAGTATATTATCACCAATATGCATTGTCTTAACATTCCTTTCATTAATTTAATAAGCTCATATTTATTGAGCACCTGGTTTTATTTTTGTTTTTTTTTTAAATATATTTTTATTGATTTTTCACAGAGAGGAAGAGAGAGGGATAGAGAGTTAGAAACATTGATGAGAGAGAATCATCGATCAGCTGCCTCTTGCATACCCCATACTGGGGATGTGCCCGCAACCAAGGTACATGCCCTTGACCGGAATTGAACTCGGGACCGTTCAGTCCGCAGGCCGACGCTCTATCCACTGAGCCAAACCGGTCCCAGTTGAGCACCCGTTTTATTCCAGGATGGAAATTCTGTGTTAAGCAAGATAAATACAATTCCTGTTCCCAAGGAGCTTATATTCTAGAATGGAAAAGGTAGATAACAGATAAATCTAAAGGAGACATAAATATGTTAACTAGAATATAAAATAATGTTTGTTATAGAGAATAAACTTGGATCACATAATATAATATGATGAGGTAAAGAATAGGTTTGGATGTAAACTCAGGAGTTTGTTACCTCTTTCCACATTAAGTTTGAAGTTTTGCCGTACCAGTAAATGGTATATCAAGTAAGCCAGTGTTTCCCAAACTTTTGACAGATGTGTACCCCTTCTATAATTTTCGTAATGCTGAGTACCCCTCGTACTCATGAGAACGTAGAATTAGGTGCATCTAAACACAGTGCAGTGCATATTCCCACCAAACTTTGATGCAACATGTACCCCCACCAAACTCTTCCTGTACCCCTGGGGGTACGCGTACCACACTCTGGGAAACACTGTAAGCAATCAGATGCACATGTTTAGAACTTAGGGAGTAGAAAATTAGTAGTACAAAGCATATATAGTTGACTCTTGAACCACACGGAAGTTAGGTGTGCCCATCCTCAAGCAGTTGGAAATCCACATATAACTTTTGACTTCTCAAAAAGTTAAGTTGTCCTTTGTATTGGGGATTGATTTCAGAACCCCCTGCAGATACCAAGTTCTGAGCATTCTCATCTCCTATATGAAGTGGCAAATATAAATACATACAAAAAGCCCCTCACATCTGCAGACTTCTAATCAATGCTCAAAAACAGTACAGATATCCATTGAAATTAATGCACATATAAGTGGGCCCACACAGTTCAAACCCTTATTGTTCAAGTGTCTTAATGTATTACACCCAGGAGACAATGTCAAGAAAAGAATACTAGTACTTAGGATTTCCTACAACCAAGGCCTACCATGTCAACATTTAAGGATCTAACGGAGAAAGAAAATCAGGCAATGAAAAATGAAATGTGGAAAGAGGACCAGTGTGGTGGTTCAGGTCAGACCATTTCAAATAACTTCTGAAAGTCTATCTAGCCAGTTCTGTGTACAGTTACAGAAAGAGAGAAATTTACTATTATCCATTTACATAAGTAGCAAATAACAATACAACTTGAAAGATTTAATATCTATTTGACATTTTAAAATAATTTCATTCCTAGAATGTGTCTCATGACTATTTTGTATAATGCTGGCTTTCAGTTATTATTTTTCATAATATTACTTTACCTAATAAAGTTTTTCTGAATAGAATTTTCTTGCTTTTGACTTTCTTGTGACTCTAGGATCAGCAAAGTTCTCTTATTATAAAAGTCATGCATATTCAAAATGCTCATGCATATTCAAGAACAACAGATCTTTTTTTTTGCTTACACTAAAGAATTTCAAATATAATGAAGATTGATCTTTCTCTTGTCACCCTTCTTTGAATGTCACTTGGTGTTGGTTATGTTTACATAAACCTTATCAGTTATATCATACAGTTTCAAGGCATGTTAATCACAGGTCAATTATGATAGGTTTTATGATTAAATATAATATATATAACTCAATTTCCTTTCTCAATGCTGAGAAAAATGTGTTAGCAGAGAAAACACATTTGATTAGCTTTTGTTCTGCACTGATTTGTGATTAATTTTAAAGATATTTTATTCTTCAGAACTCATCTGCATTTTCTGCTAT